AACATCCCATACCGTCGTATGTAGTGATGACTGATTTTCATATGCAAGTGATGGTGTCCTATGCTGGGCAAGGCCGCACTTGTCTTTGTGGGGAGTATGATCACTCTGCAGCACAATGTTGTCGCCAACAGTGGAAGAAGGACGTAGGGCGACAACCAATGGAAGAGCCCGTCCAGGAGGTGACTGTTGTGCCTGAGTCGGGTGCATGTCCAAAGACGTCATTGTGGAGTGAAGAGGTGGAGCGAGAGGAGCTGTTTGAGGAGTCTTGTGTGACTCTACCTGGGGAACATTCCTCTGTTGGCCTGGTTATGCTGAGTGAGGAGGGAAGGATGGCCATAGAAGAGAGAGTGGAAGACACATTAGCGACTGTGCTGAAGGGATTGTTGGACACACCTGGTGAGGCAGAAGAGGAGAGGCTTGAAATACCCCTTGGGAATGTGTCTTGTGTATGGTCCCAGGATGTGGAGGAGTTGGTTGAGAAGCAGGCTGCTGGGATGGATGTAATCACCGTCGAGGTGGTGGTGCATAACGAAGGCCTTCTGGAGGTGGCTATGGAGGCAGAGGGAGGGTCATGCAAACAGGTGGTGGCACTGTCAGACTCTGATGATGTCCTCACCCCGGCACAGAGGCCTGGCAAGAAGGTGTGGGCTGAGGTGGCACGGGGCGGCCCTAAGGGGCCAAGGGGCCCGGTGGTGGATACTGGGGACCTCCAGTGTCTGGTCGTGTGCATGGTGGTAGACACCAGCAGGCGTCTAGAGGTGGATCAGTGCCGAAAGGGCACAAGGTGCAGCTGGCTTGAAGTGTGTCTCCGTAAATGTAAATGGGTTGCGTGACAAAGTGAAGTGTATGTGAAATTAAGACACATGTGCAACATCTGGGTATCTTTATTGTAGACGTTTCGCCATCCAGTGTATGTGGTTTTTGGGTTTTCTTCGTAGGTATGGCGTGGATGTGGCTCTTGTGCAAGAGCACAATTATAAAGCCGGGTGTGAGTTAGTAATGGATGGATTTCAGGTGTTTGTTGCACATTCAACTCGACTGAAAGGGGGGATCACCATCCTTCTGCGAGAGACCAGCCCATTTGTTGTGTATCGTAGTGAGGTAGGGGAGGAGGGGCGGGTCGTGCGAGTGGATGGGCTGTGGATGGGGGAGAGGGTGGCACTAGTGTGTGTCTATGGGCCCGCAGAGGGGGATGGACGTGTGAAGAATGCCTTTGTGAGGGATGTGTTAGTGTACCACCTCCGGTCGCTTTCTCCGTGGCGGTTGTGGGGGGTGACTGGAATTGTGTGGCGAGAAGGAATGATGTGGAGCCTTGAGGGGGTGGGGTTTTACTCTGTAGTGTTAGGGGATCTTTTGCGGAGGGTGGGGTTGTGGGATGTGGCTAAGGGTGAGGCGTGGGAGGTGGAGCACACGTTTGTGCATGGAGGGTATGCTGCTCCTCTGGACCGCTTGTATGTAACACGGACTGCAAGGGTGGAAAGGGTGTGTGTGGTGGAAGTAGCATATTCAGATCATTGGGTGGTTTTCGTTGAAGTGGGGTGGGACGGGTTGCCTAGGAGGCATAGGAGTTTTTGGAAATTGAATGTTCGGCTCCTTGCAGATGGAAGGGGGAGGGAGGGGTTTGTGCAGTTGTGGAGGGAGTTGTGGTCAGGGGTGGAGGCTGTTGTGGATATGTTGGCATGGTGGGATGGAGTGGCAAAGGGGAGGATCAGGGCATATTATGTTAGACAGGGCAAGAGGGAGGCTCAGATGACTTTTGGGATTATAAGATATTTAGAGGGGCAGTTGAGGGATTGTTATGGAAGAAGGGTGGGGGCAGCGGCTCTTTTGCGGAGGAAATAGAGGTGCTGAAGCAACATATCAGGGAATTGCAGAATGAGTAGTTTGATGCAGTATGGGTTAAGGGTGGGTTAGAGGAAGTTTTGTGGGGTGACAGGCCGTCGACGTGTGTTCTGCAGGGGCAGCGGAAGCATCAGGCGGCCACAGAGATGGAATGTTTGTTAGTGCAAGAGGAGGTTGGAGGGTATCATGAGGGGCAGGTGCTTCGTACGACGGAAGGGATGGGTCATTATGTGGACGAATGGTTCGGGACTTCTTTGAGGAGTGTTAGTGTGAAGGGGGGGCATTAGGGCAGTTGGGACAGCATGTGGTCAATGCTCTGAGCAGGGGGGACCATATGGCGCTGAGAGGGGACATTGAAGAAGGGGAGGTGTGAAGGGCTTTATCGAGTATGAGTAGGGGTAAATCCCCAGGAATCGATGGGCTGCCATGTGAGTTTTACTCACAGAATTGGGACATACTTAAGGAGTTTTTGGTGAAGTTGTTGAATGAGATGAAAAAAGGGGTGAGCTGGGGGTTTTGCAGGCAACAGTGGTGGTAGTCTTGGTCCCAAAGGTGGCCAGCCTGCACATGGTGAAGGACTATAGGGTTATTTCTTTACTGTGTGCGGATTATAAGTTATTTGCTAAAATATTGGGGAATAGGTTGAAGTGTGTGATCGATAGGGTGGTGGCAGCTGGCCAGTATGGGGTGCCAGGAAGGACCATGTGTGAGGGGCACGGGGTGATTCGGGGGTTTGTGGAGAGTGTGCAAGGAATGGAGGGGGTGGGGTGTTGGCCTTGGATTGGTGGGCAGCGTATGATAGTGTTGAGAGGCATTTTGGTGGATAATGAGGAGGCAAGGGTTTGGGGACGAGAATGTGATGAGATTGCCTATGATACTCCAATAAAGACACTTTGTATTGTGCTAAAACAAAAGCATTCACATTGCTAAACTCACAAATTATAATGTAGTTACTTAGCCTTAATACCATAATCTGTAAGGATTTAATGTTAAGAATTAATCTAAGTCTGCCTGAAATGCCTAGCCATGCTAGGTGTCCTAGTGGCCCCCTGTGTAATTAGTATTTTATAACATGTAAACCACACAATATCCAAATCCTGTAAACCCCACATTGTAACCTTTATAGAGAATAAACTTGATTTGATTTGATTTGATTTGTATCATAGAGCGGGTGTTCGGGTGCAGGTGAATGGGAGGGTGGGGGATCGGATCCCTATGGGTAGAATTCCACGGCAGGGATGTCCTTTATCCCAATTACTTTTTGCCTGTTTGCAGGATCTGTTTTATAGAGCAGTGGAGGTATGTGTGGGGGGGGCCAAGGGGAGGGTAGGACGAGGTGTGCCAGGAATTGTCGGTTATGTAGATGACAATTCTTGTGTGGGAGGGGGAAGGTTTAGGATTGTGGACCTGTTCGGAGAGGCTTCTGGTATGAGAATGAATGTAGAGAAGTCTAAGTTTATGGGGTTGGGGAATTGGGAGGGGAAGGTGGGAGGGGAAGGTAGTGGGAGGTGGGGTGTTGTGGATCGGGTCAAGATTTGTGGGATTGAGTATATGCAGGATGCATAGCAAGCTAGGATTGTTAATTCAGGGAGTGTTGTGGAACAGGTGACTAGACGGTTGGACAGGTTGTGGCCTGGTCATTTAACGCTTCATCAGTGGGTCATTGTAGTAAATGTCTTATTATATAGTAAAATTTGGCATGTGGTAGCTATGTACCCGTTGTTGCAGTCAGATATTGGGGTAATATTAAGGAAAGTCTTTAGGTTTATTTGGGGGTCAGGGTGTGATTGGTTGTGGAGGAGAGTTGTTACTCTCCCAGTGTGCAGAGGCTGGCTGGGGTTAATTAATTTAAAGAGTAGGATCATGAGTGTATATGTAAAGAGGGGGTTCCTCCAAGTGGGGGGGTGTATGGTGGTGTGGTGGGTTGCACCTTTTGTATGAGGATGTCAGAAGATGGTAGGGAGGGAAGGACTTGCATGTGTGTGAGGACATGTTACGGATTCTCTTGCATGTTAGGGATACGGAACACATGAGCGTGGGGGTTTTAGAGAAAGTGGTGGGGGAAAGGGAGGTGGCGACAGTGGAAGGAGCATATCCAATGTATGCATGGAGGGATATTTGGGGTAGGTTGTGTAGGGTACGCCTCCGGCCGTGGGAATGGGAGGTGATGTTCTGGTTCCTCCATGGCATCCTGCCATCAGGTGCGGTTCTTAGAGACCGGAGGATTCGAGAGGAGGGCGTCTGTGGGGTTTGTGGGGGTGAGGATACAGCCTTTCATGCAGTCTATTTCTGTGAAGGATTGGGGGACATACAGGAGTGGATGGGGAGGGTAGTACAATGGGTGGGAGGGAGGGATTTCGGTTTTGCGGGCTTTAAGTTTGGATGTGGGAGGGGTGGGTATCCCTGTGCAGCGGGCACTTGGTTACCTTATTGTGCATTTTGTGTTTGTGTCATGGGCAATGAGTGGTCAGGTGGAGGGGGGGGGTGCGGAAAAGAGTATTGGCGGCGACCTTTTATCGTACGTTGTGTCGAAATCGGTTCTTTACGGGATATGGTGGGAGCGGGATTTCCCTGTAAGCTATGGTGGTTTAACGGTAGGGGTCCTTTTGGGGATGTAAGGGGGGAGGGGGAGGAGGGGGAGGGGGGAGGGGGGAGGGGGGAGGGGGGAGGGGGGAGGGGGAGGGGGGAGGGGGGAGGGGGGAGGGGGGGGGGGGGGAGGGGGAATGCGGCGTGCTGGTGGGGCTAGTGTGTGCGAGTATGACTGGAACACCTTTATATGTTACCATAGAGGAATGGTGTTTTATGGTGTGTAGGTTGTGAGAGTATTGGGTATGAGGTATGAGGTTTTCTATGTGTGTTGTAGTGCAAGTATATATTGTGCTTCTTTAATTATGGGGAAGTGGCATGTGCGATTATTCTTCAGTGTATACTCGTGAATTCAACTCATGTAACTTGTGTGTGCTTGCTATGACGATATGGAAAACTTGTATGTGAGTGTGATGGCCTTTTCACAGGTACAGTGATGGCCTTTTCACAGGTACAGTGATATATGCAATTGTTAAGTGTGTATGTGTATATACATATGTATATGTATGAGAATGCATGAGTGCATTCGAGTGTATATATATCTACATATGTATATATATGCATATGTGTGT